GGTCATGCCCCCAGCACCGGGCCGGGGTACCTCAGGCCGCGCCCCTTGCCTGGCGGGGCTTGATGGGGGGCCTCAGGCCATGCCCCCTGCCCTGGCCCCCTGCCCAGATGGGCTTGATGGGGGTGGGGCCTGCCAGGTCTGGGTCTCCTGCGTTTTTGAAGCACGTGCAGGTGGTGGGCGGGGACTTGACTCTAGATCCCGTGGCACGCCCAGACTCTGACGGTCCTGTGGTGCACCCCAGACTCTGACAGGAGGAAGATTTTCATATACATTTTACTAATTTTCTTTCATCTCTGACACTTCTATTATAGAGAAAGGGCAAATAGCAATATTAAAATATTTCCTCTAATTAATTCCCTTTTAATGTGCACGAATTTCGTGCACCAGGCCACTAGTTTTATATAAGGGACTTGAGCATCTGAGAATTTTGGTATGGAGGGGTGGGCTGGGGGCTGGAACCAATCCCCAGAGGATACTGAGGGATGACCACATAGTCTACAGTTTTCTTTTTATGTGCCATAGTGTTAAACTGGCTTCATTAACAACAGTGAAACTTTTATTATAACTCTTTATGTTATAAAAGAGTTGAAATAATATAGATTTATCTGTTTCTTAAATGTTTGAAAGAACTTATGAGCTACCTGAGCTTAGCAACTGTAGGACCTTAAATATTTGTAAAATGAATTAAAAATTTGTTGTTTTAACCACAGTATTAAAAGTTATTTCAGTATAATTTTTAAGCAGTTAGTACAGAGGCATTAAAAGTTAAGTATATCCCTGTATCAGAGGATACATAATTTACTTTTTCCAGATGATTTGTAATTTAAATAACTCTCAGCAATTTCTGGCATTGTTCCAAACAAAAGTCACCAATATTAAAAGATGTATACTATGTGAAAACACTCTATGACAATTAATATTACATTTTAAGCAAATATCAGAATAGAAAAAGAATAATGAAAAGTCACTGAGACTATGACATTGACATGTGACATGTGAAAAAACACTTTTAGATTTTGATTAAATAAAAGATAACAGGTTTCAGGTCTACAAGACAACATCCATTAATCATTACTGATCTAGTGTCTGTCAAAATGTGCTTTTACATCGGAGTGTGCTGGCATAAAGTACCATTTGATACCACAGTGAATGTAGGACATGATGTGTTGGGAAGGACTCCCAAAACACAATTTATCTGCCCTCAAACCCACTCTACTCATAATACAATTATTTTCAACTATAAAAACATTAGATCACTTGACATATTTAAATGTGATTCTCCCCCTTGAAATAATTTGCATTACCTTTAAATAATTTGGGTAACATTTTTTTTAAAGAGCTTCTCTTTTTATTCACTGTGAGATCATTCCCTCTGTACATGGCACGCTGCTTTCATCATGGCTAATTAATGACCTCGAGGACTACTGCTTCTATCTCTGGGTTTCCTCTACCTGACTTTGTAGTTTCGATTAAACCCCCTGATGTTTGGAAAGCTTTCCCTCTCTATTACTCCTTCCTTTCAGCATATAAACATGCTGAAAGCTCTCCCAACCTGCATCACAAATGGAAACTTTCTCTCTCTGCTGCATCCTTTACCATACCACTCACCTATCTTCTCTCCCTTTAAAAGGTAAGTTAGAAGAGATATACCCATAACTACATACACTCCCTCATGTTGATATGCCCTTTTTTGAGTGTGACACAAAAGGGTGGAGTGTTAGTCAGCTTGCCAGTATTAGTCATTATTGGTGGACAGTCTTACCCATGTTACAGCCCAGTTACAGTATATTAACACAACTGTTTTTCTGCTTAAACGTAGAGACTTGGCACTTTTTGTCTCTGCTCCTTCCTCCCTCCTTGATGCCTTAACCAAATATGGTAAGGTTTTCTCATTCTCACCCTATAGCATGGCTCCATTGAACTGATCATGGTAAAGGATTATCAAAGACCCCTCAACAGCCAAAGTCTGTGGGCACTTGTTTTCTATACTTAGCTTCCTAGCATTTTGTTTTAAAGACAATCTCCTATTTCCGAAGTGCCTTTTCTGACTTGTCTTCCTCTATGTGATTCTTAGATGTTAGTATCCCAGAATTCTATTCTTGGTCCTTTATTCACACTTTACAGAATTTCATTGGTCAATTTTATCTACCATTAGAGGCCCGGTGCATGAAATTTGTGCACCAGTGGGGTCCCTCAGCCTGGCCTGCGGGATCGGGCTGAACCCAGCTCTCCAACATCCCCCGAGGGGTCCTGGATTGCGAGAGGGCGCAGGCCAGGCCTAGGGACCCCACCAGTGCACTACTGGGGCTGGGGAGGGACGCAGGAGGTTGGCCAGATGGGGAGGGACCACGGAAGGACTCCAGGGCATGTCCGACCTGTCTTGCTCAGTCCCAATCAGCCAGACCCCAGCAGCAAGCTAACCTACCACCCGGAGTGTCTGCCCCCTGGTGGCCAGTGCACGTCATAGTGACTGGTCAACCAGTCGACTGCCCCCTGGTGGTCAGAGCAGTTGAGCGGCCTTAGCATATCATTAGCATATTACTCTGTGATTGGTTGAATGGCCGACCAGACGGACAACCAGACACTTAGCATATTAGGCTTTTATTATATAGGATGGTGCCCCTTTCCTCTCTTGAGTAGAATCACACAAATATAAAATCAGACCTTCCTCCTGAGTTTCAAACTATTGTCCCCAACCCGAAAAGCCTGCTTTGATGAATCACAGGCACCTCAAAGTCAGAATGTCCTTCCCACCTTCACCCACTGTTTTGTGATTAATGGCATGTCCATCCACTGAGTCATTTCGACCAGAAACCTAAAGCCCCTCTGTTGTTCTGTTTTATCTCCACATTCACTAGTTACCTTTGATTTCTACCTTCTACATCTCTGGAGTACTTCTCCCACTCATCTCCTTTCTAAAACTTCCAATAACCAAGGCTTCATAATTTCTTGCCCAAATTACTGCAGCAGCTTCCTAACTGGTGTCCCTGATCCCCTTTTGGTCTATTCTTCATTTACCAACAGAGTAATCTAAGACAGAAATCTCATTTTGTTATTCCCTTTTTAAAATAAATAAAACCTTCAATGTTTCCTACTGACTACAGAAAATGTCCACAATCTTTTTTATGTCATGACACATATGAAACACAAAGTTTACATGATGCTGAACTCCTGGGCAATTATCTAATTGTGGGCCAAAGCATATGCAAAAATGTCTGCATAGTAAAGATAATTCCTGGAATGTTAGTTAGCATTCTACACTTTCTCCTGTCTCTCCCACTCAAAAAAAAAAAAAAAAAAAAAAAAAAAGCCCATGAAGACTACAAAAGAATACAAGAAAGTGAATGTGAATGACTCCCACAACTGATGTTGCTGTGTACTGGAATAACAGAGCACTCTGAGGACCCCTGGCTGAAGGGAGAAAATGCAAACCTCTTGGTAAAACCCACAGGGCTCTCTATGATACAGCAGAGTAGGCTGGACACAGCCAAGGCTAGGATGTCCCAATCACTGTCTTCGATGGGAATGGTGTCCTGTGGAGTTCTGCAGGGAGGCAGCCCTGAGCCTCCATCCAATTTCATCTCTTATAGCTTCTGCTATCTAATCCTGATCCAGCCATACTGAAATGCTGGAGTTCCCAAATAAGGTCACACACTTTCACTTCTTATCTCTGTACATTCTTTCCCTTCTCTCTGAACTTCCTCTCACTTATTCATTTAAATACTATGTGTCAAGCATTTTGTTAGGTCTGCATAAAATTCAATAAACTGTTTAAAACAGATTTGCTGAATTTAAATTTCTATTTTGTAGTTTTAGGAAATGGGTAAGAATCAAAGAAGTGATTTCGTTTCCTCCAGATGAACTGCTTCCACTGCTGCCAGGACAAATCCTCCTGGGAGCCCTGGGGAACAACACTGTCACTATCCCACACTCCTCTCCTTGCCCAGCTCAACTCTCCCTTCATCTTCCCCGTCCCGTTTAGGGCCAGAGGGCCTTGTCCAATCTGTGAAGCTTCCTTCCCATAACACAAAGCTTGACCTAGAAGGCCTGGTTGGATCCTGGTCCCATAGCTTATGGACTGAATTATCTTGGACCCTTCAATTCACCTTTATGTGGAAACTTTAGCTACTTCTCAGGAAGTAACTTTAAAATAGCATTTTAACTGTAAAATGTTACACAGGCATTATAGTTACTGAGAGGCATTCGAGAGGCTATCTTATTGTTCTACACAAGTTAAGCTACTTGTGTCATTACAATGAAACCTGAAATACCCACCAATTTGGGAGATAGTCTGAATTGGTTAAAATTTGAGGTTATAATTTTTTCTTTAAATTTTTTATTATATTATTTTTAACCACACACAGCAGTTCTCAGCTGGGGACCGAAATGCCAGGCCCTACTCCCACCCCCAGAGGGTGTGCTACTGGCATTTGATGCCTGGGAGCCAAGGATGTTAAATATACTGCAGAAATGCCCTTATAGAGACACACAGAAAACAAGACTTTAGGTAAAGGCATTCTGTACCTGCCCAGACCAAAAATTATAGCTAGTTAGAGGATACAGAATAGAGTTGGTATAGAAAAATAAATGACACTTGGGAGAAACTTTGCACTATTACATAGAATAAGCATTTCTCTTACAATCTTATTAATCCTCTTATTTTTAATTGCAAATCATCTTTAACTTAACTGGTATAAATTTAAGCACATATTGTCCATATTTATATTGTATAATTATGAATTGTAGTAGAGTATAATTTATTGTTGGTTTATGTAGTTTGCTTATTTTTAATCAGTGATATAACAACGTATTTTTAATAGTTTATCCAAAATTATTAAAGTCAATCCAAAACCAAAGTGGTGAAATTACTCAACATAATTTTGTCTAGTTTTTTCAAAATCAAAATATACATCAGGTTATGTACACCTTACCAATACTTCTATTTCTCTAGTATCTAGCAAAATAAATATTAATACCTAAACTTTAAAAAATTATTGTGGTATTTGTAATATTGCTACTGAATAAATTTGACTTACCTCATAAGGTAGTTTGTCAAAATATCCATTATTTGGCCCTTCCCTGAGGGCAGTGCTGCTAAGCTTTTTGTTAAGATTGTCCATTCCACAATCATCGTTTTCTTCATAGTCATCATCTTCTAGATCATTCATGTCAATAAGTGAAGTCTTGAGAGAAAGTACTGGCTTGTCCTTCATACCATGCAATACAACTGCATCTAATTCAGTGTAATAATCCAGAAGAGAACTATTTACTTCCAGCCGTATAAGATTTGTGGGAAAATTTATCTGCTTAATACAAGGTTTAAACTGGCGAGCCTGGGAAGCATTCACCTTCGTAGGTCTCTCTGACCAAAGAATCTCCCATCTGCTAAAGAAAGAAACTTCCCTATAATAGAGTTTAGAATGAGATTTACTGTTACCTTAAGGTTATGGTCCCATGCCCAATATGTTACAGTGTGAAGCAAAGACATTAAATAAGGTGAAGAGAATCAAATACAAGTACTGTTTCCAGTACATGAAAAAAAACTTTAAAACTAAATGCCATAGACCTTATTGCTTAAATATTTTTACTACTTAAGTTACTTTTACAACTCCCTGGAAAGTCTTTTTTGGAGATTTCACATTAGATTTCACATTGGAATAGGTAGTTAGAAGTATAGGAAGAACAGCATGCATTTTTCTAGGAAAAGCAAAGCAAGAATAAAGCACACAGGATAAATAAAGCTCTCCTGAGTGCATGTCTTCAACCAACTGTGAAAACTAAACTGATCATCTTGCCTCACAAACCTCTCCTTTTCCAGCTTTCCCATTTCTGTTACTGATATCATACAAAATCAAAACTTTCATTATCTTTTTTTTTCATTATCTTTGATATTTTTATCCACTCATTGTTTTTTTAAATTTTCATGAAATTGTCTTACATATGTCCTTCTAAATTGCCATTACCTGAAATACCCACCAATTTGGAAGGGAGATAGTCTTAATTGGTTATACAATACTAGAGGCCCGGTGCACGAAATTCATGCACTCAGGAGGGGGGTTTCTCAGCCCAGCCTGTGCCCTCTCACAGTCTGGGAGCCCCACAATCGATCGCCCCAAAGAGGCAGGCCCTGCCCACCTGGCCAGGGCTCCAAGATGGATCGCCCCCGCAGAGGGAGACCCCGCCCACCCACCGCAGCCCACTGGTCAGTGGCCTGGGTCTCCCTCTTTGGGGCGATCTTGGGGCCCCCCCAACTGATCAATTGGAAGGTCATCCGGACGGTTGTTTCGCTGTTCAGCTGTTCAGTCGATTTGCATATTACTCTTTTATTTTTATAGATCCTTCTAACTAGCTGTAAATTTTGAGTTGGGGAAAGAGAGGAGTGTGGAGTAACCAGGCACCCTGAGGACCACTGGCTTAAGGGATAAAATGCAAACTTCTTGGTAAAACCCACAGAGTCCTCTATGATACAATATCCTACTAAACTAGCTATAATTTTTGGTGTAGGCAGGTACAGAGTGCCTTTACCTAAAGTCTTAATTTTTCTTTTAGTCATACTTATACCCACAGTACTTAGCAAGTATCTAACACATAACGATGAATAACATTTTCTCCGATTTCTCCCAAATGAACCCCTTCTTTACTGCCAGATTAATCATTACTTTCCAGAAAATAAACTTATTTCCAACTTTGTGTCTTTACTCATGTTGTCTACCCCCAGTGAAATACCCAACCTACAGATTATCCTATTTTTCAAGGCCCAACTCCTATTCTATCTCTTCATATAAGTCTTCTGGTTTTTTAAAATTTATCTTTATTTTTGAAAGTATTACAGCACATAAGTCTTCTTATAAAACTATTTTCCAAAATTACTTAAAGATTTCTTATAACATATCATCATTAAGTATATACTACTATAATATTTTCATATTTATGTCATATGTAACCATTTCTCTAATATTGTTTTCTAATATATCAGAGAAAGTTAGAAATATAGAACAAAATACTTCAATAAACACCTTTCCTTTATTTCTAATTTACTTTAGGTAGCAGAATTTTTTAACACAGATTTTATGTCAAAGACTAATAATATTTTTAAGTCTCTCAATATATACAACAAACTGCTTTCAAAGAAGCATATGCCAATAGTATATAACAATGACCAATGAAATCATTATTTATGTTTAAAAATAATCTCTACTTTCATAGAGAAATAGCTCTGTATTACCTAATATAAAATTCAGTGATTACTAATAACACTTAAACTGTTTTATACACTTATTAATCATATGAGGATTTTCCCCTTTGGTATATTGCCTGTTCATTTATGGAAATGACCTATTAGATCTAAGTAAAAACTGATTATGGAAAGGTGTTTAGGAAATTGAAATAGACAAAAAAATATGAAACTCAGGGGAGAAATCTATAGAAGTCATCCACATACAGGAATCCTGATGGTCTTCAGGCCATGATGGGAGCAAGAAGGGCAAGTATGGTAAGTTCTAACTTTAAGAATAAAAGTTTAAGACAGAACTTCAATAGGGATTTTAGCAAAGATAACACTAATCATAACAATAGGAACTTTTGCAGTTTCTAGAAACTTTATAACCCCCCCCCATATTTGCTAGTTTTGTTGATTCTTTACTGAAAATTAGTAATAAAACCCATCAAACATAAAGAACCTGTTACTATTTGTATTCAGAAACAACATTTGTATCCAGAGATTGTTCCCACTCTATAACCAGTGTTGAGAGGCAGGGGAAGAATTCTAAGGAACAGAACTGGTTGTGGCAGATTTAAAGAGAAAAAGAAAGCAGGCTAGGCATTTTCTTCTTCCTGTGACAAGGTAGGAACGCAAGTTTGGAATGCCAGTCTAGACCTAAGACATGCTCCCAAATGTTAACTGCAAAAATCTTGAAGGTTCTTAACAATGCAATTATTTGAACACTCTACTGTAAATCTCCGGGGTTAAACAGAGCGAGCCATATAGGTACAAGGGTACAGAAGTATTAAACATTTAAAACCATGTTGGTGGGAAAATGTATTCCTACTTCTGGACAGTATATTTCCAAGAATCGTGAGGTAAATGGTGGAATGCATGAGAAAATTCAAACTTTGGTTTTATGCATCTTTTTCTTGCTACTGTAAAATGGTATCAGATGATGCTGGAGGAATGACTCATGTCCAAGAAATAAGGACCACTCAGGAATCTGAAATAATTGCCTGTACTGGTTCACAGTACATGTGGACTAAACCAGCCTAGTTTTTAGCTTCAGTGAGTTTTTATAAGGCTTAATAGAAACACTGAAAATTTAATACAGAAATCACCTCTGCCAGGTCCTCTGCAATAAATACATGAGCATGTTCTTCATGTATAGCTTGATTTGCAGTATAATGTAAATTACATTATAAAAATCACAAATATAAGCTTAAAGAAAAGCAGTGATTAGAACAGAAATATGCTATTTTAATAATGTATTAATCAAAATAGTCATGGGGATATAAAATACAACATAGGGAATATAGTCAGCAATATTGTAGTAACTATGTATGGTGCCATGTGGTATTAGAAATATGGGGGAAACACTTTATAAAGTAAATGATCATCTAACCTCTATGCTGTACACCTGAAACTAATACAAAATAATATTAAATGTAAAATGTAACTGAAAAATAAAATTTAAATTAAAAAAAAAAATAGCCCAGGCTGGTATTCTCAGTGGTTAGAGCCTTAGCCTGCACATGGAAGAATAGTGTTAGATTCCTGGTCAAGGGCACGTCCTTGGGTTGCATGTTCGATCCCTCACCTCCCTCCATCCCCCATAGGGGTCAGGGCACGTGCAAGAGGCAACCAATTGATGTGTCTCTATCACATCAATGTTTCTCTTTCTCTTCTCTCTCTCTCTCTTTCCTCCTTCCCCCCTCCTTTACACTCTCTCTGAAAATCAATGAAAAAATATCCTTGGGTGAGGATTAAACTAATAATAATAATGTACTAGTCCTCTCTATCTATCTTGTAGAACAGACAATGTGAAATAATGCTTTACTTTTTAACATTTAAAAATAATTTTTAAAATTTTTATTTTTCAATTATAGTTTATTTTCAATATTATTTTATATTAGTTTCAGGTGCACAGCAAAGTACTTAGATAATCCTATACTTTACACAGTGTTCCCCCTGATATTCCTAGTACCTACTGGCACCATACATAGTTATCACAATATTACTGACTATATTGACTATTTTATGTCAAAGATTAAGAATATTTTTAGGTCTCTCAATATAGACAACAAACTGCTTTCAAAGAAGCATATGCCAATAGTATATAACAATGACCATTGAAATCATTATTTATATTTAAAAATAATCTCTAATTTCATAGTTAGCCATATACTGTATGGTAGAAAGAAGTGTAGGGATTAAGAAGTACAAATTGGTAGTTACAAAATAGTCACAGGGATGTAAAGATGATGATTTAAATAGACTTCCTTAACATGTCTAGTATGTCAGAGAGTTAATGTTATTTTAGCACCATTCTTGCTTCTGACTTCTATATAGCATGAACATTATATACAGGGTGAGGCAAACATAGGTTTACAGTTGTGAGTATGCAAAACAGAGTTTATTCTTGTATTATTATTAATTACTAGAGGCCCGGTGCACAAAAATTTGTGCACTCGGGAGGGGAGGGGGGTCCCCCAGCCTGGCCTGTGCCCTCTCGCAGTCTGGGACCCCTCGGGAGATAACGACCTGCTGGCTTAGGCCTGCTCCCGGGTGGCAGAGGGCAGGCCCAATCCCTAGGTGCAGCCCCTGGT